CGAATTATTTTTACAATATTTTTATTAACTCTTTCTGCGATGTTCGCCTGTGGTCCATACGAAACCATTTTGATATGGCGTATGCCAACTCCAGTGAAAATATTTTCAAATATTTGGCTAACGAATTGTTTACAGTTATCGCTAATGACTTTACTCGGTGCACCGTATTTTAAAATGTATCTGTGTAAGAATGCATCTGCGACTGTTTTGGCTGACGCGCTCTTAAGTGGAACAATTTCTGTCCATTTTGAAAAGTGATCTACAATTACTAAAAGAAAATGATTTTTATTTAACTCGCTCTGGGGAAAGGGACCAAGAAGATCTATGCCTAAGATTTCATTCGGAAATGTAGCGCAAATGCTATTTAAGTACCCGGCCGGGCTGTAATTAATATCATTTATTAACTGACATTGATTGCAGGACCTGACATACGCAGTTACTATTTTGTATAATTGCGGGAAATATACCGCCTCGCATACTCTTTTTAAAGTCTTTCTGACCCCTAAATAACCTGCTGTTTTTGCGTCGTGTAATTCCTTCAAAATGCTTAATCGAAGCGAGGCTGGGATGACTGGTTTATTTTCGAAATTTTCGTTTGTTGTTTTCGTATAAAATAATAAATTATCTATTATTTCATAGTTTTCTGCTCTACTTCTTATTGAATCGATATCTGTGTATTCAAATCTTTCGGGGTCTTTCAAATACGCATTGATACTTCTAAATTCAGGATCAGCCATCAATTCAGCAATAATTGTTTCTCTAGAATCTAAAATTTTTCAAAAATTTTAGATTCAGAGAAACAAATAGTCAACACAGCGCATTTGAGTTCATTACCTTCATCGTCCAGTTTTATACGAGATAGTGTGTCAGCAACATTGTTTTCCTTACCCGGTTTATATTTAATTACTAGGTTATACTCTTGAAGTTTTAAAGCCCATTTTATTAACCTGGGCGTTAGATTTTTCCCCGAGTAAAGTCTACCAACAGCCGTATGATCCGAAAAGACTGTTACTGGCGCTTTGCCGAAATAAACTCGAAATTTGTGTACAGCCATTAATACGACTAATGTTTCTCACTCCGTAGCTGTATAATTTCTTTGAGTACAATTCAAAATTTTACTAAAAAATGCCAAAGGATGCCCATTCTGCATGACAACTGCACCTACGGCATAGTCCGACGCGTCGGCTGCAATTTCCAGGTTTTCGGCCCCTTCCGTGAATTTCAAAACAGGGGCATTGATGAGTGCTACCTTAAACTTTTCAAAAGCTGTATTTGCTTCAGCTGTCCACGTAAAGGTACTTTTTTTCTTTTAATTAGTAACAACGTTTTAACAATATTCGCGAAATCTTTTATGAACGACCGATAATAAGAACATAAGAAAAGGAAAGAAGAAAGTTTCTTAGATGTATTGGGAGGTGGGAAATTCTTGATGGCTTTTATTTTTGAATCTTGAGTTTCTATACCCTTTTGCGAAACTTTATAACCCAGTTATTTAAGTTCTTTAGTTGCGAACTTGCATTTTGAGGCGTTAATTGTAAGACCGGCCTCTTTTAATAATTTAAAAACTTCTTCTAGATCTTTAATATGTTGTTCCAACGTACTACTCGTTATAATTATATCATCTAGATAGATTAAAGTCGATTTTCTTAGGACAGGCTTTATAACAATCCATAGCTCTCTGGAATGTTGACGGGGCCCCACTCAACCCAAAGGGCTTGCGTAAAAATGCATAAGTGCCCGATTTTTTGATAAACGCAGTTTTTTGTATATCTTCTGGTTTCATAGCTATTTGATAGTAGCGCCAGACGTTAAGTCCAACGTAGTCATATATCTTGTAGACTTAATCTTTCTAATAATTTCCTCAATCACTGGCAAACGTTAAACCGGGAATTTAGTAATACTATTGAGTTTTCTGTAATCGATAGCAAACATCCAAGCTCTCTATCTGAAGGAGGGAAATCGTTCTTTTTCCTACATAGTACGACTGGACTCGCGTACTCACTATTTATGGGCGTTATTATCTGGTTCTGCAGCATTTCTTTAATGTGTTCCAAAATAATTTGTTCTTTCTGTTGATCATACCTGTGGGGTTTAGCCCTATAGGGTTTATCGGCAATTAGTTGTATGTCGGGTTTCCTTCCATACAGCATGTCTGTCAGCTTAACGTTTCGCAGAATAAAGTCCGTCAAATCTTCAATATTACGTTGATAAAACTATAAAGTTCGGCTTCTAGCTTTGCTAGGTCTTTCACTTTGGCCTTTAATAGTGATGCTTTAAAATTTTGAAAGGTATACTCTTGGCCTCCAAATTCTCCTAATAAAAATTTCTCTATACTCTTCCCCCATAGTGAGGCCTGTCCTCTTAGTGCAGACGTGGCAATGGAATCTTTTTGCCTTTCAGGCACAGGATATAACTGGAAATGATTTTCGAGGCCTTCTAAGAATATCGCCACCGAATTTTTTCCGTCAAAATTGACGGTTGGCGTGATAGATGCTCCCATATATTGGACCAGGTATCCAAACCCTTCTAACTGGTTCGCCATTTCTTGCTGTTGGAGTTGTACAGGAGCTTCCATCCGATTATCGGCCATCTGAGTTCGTAAGATGTTCGGGCCCCAATGTAGTATCGTGTGGCCCCAACTCGTCAGCAATTGTAGTGACTGCTACGAGGTTTGAATTTACACAGACACGTAAGAAGGGTTTAAAGCCCTTTTTATTCAAGTTTTAAAATAACAGCTGCGTCCACTTGACGCTCACAAACTACGCCGAACCGGCGGTTTAACTGAAACAGAACGTAAAAATGAACAATAATGACGGGATGAATAAATAGCGAGATCACTATCCACGAGTCTTCGAGATCTTAAGCTAAACCGCGTTCTTCAATACCGCTGAAATTCAGCGAGCTTACTAATTGTGCAGTTGAGAGATCCTACAAAATCTGCCGAGATAGGCACACAGGCCGAAACGCGCGTTTCTTAAATTTCTACCTAGCAACCTTCACGTTCGCGATTCAAAAAGCACATCTACAATCTTGTTTTCCTTCTTTTTAAACTCAACTTACTTCTGCTAAAATTTGAATATACTGCGCGCTCTACTACAATTTACATACTCTAGCATTGGCAATTCTAGGGGAAAGTAAATGCTTGACAGGAAAGATAGCTTAAACTTAAAGTAAATGTTAGTTAAAGTAAATATAAACCCTACAAGGTAATTCAACAAAGGCGACCAGAGGTGCCCCAGAGCACTGATATATCACTCTCACTTATCTCACTTAACATAACAAATCACTTATTTTCCTAACAAATCCTTTAACCATTAACAGTACCGATTTTCAACAGCCAAAGCTCCGTTCTTCCATCCACTCTAATAACTACCTGGAAGAAAATAACTCCTCAGCCCTAAGCATGTTCCAATTTATTCCTAGAATTACTGATTACACTGAATATATTGCTAAAAGTCGACAGTACCTTAAAGTACTACGTTGTTATTAGTTACGAAAGGAAGATGTATAAAGAGTCCTGTATACTGACTGCTGAGCAAACAATCCACGTTTACAGAATCTTGTGTCCATAATTTACCACTGTATGTGGAGCATATTGTTCTACAAAGCTCACCTGGAATGGTTTCCACTGTATGATATCTATCTGGCATTTCCATGTAATAGTCATCATTACCACTGTTGTTCGTAATCGTTCTCCATCATTCCTTCAAGCAGCTACTTGGAGAAGATGGAAATTTCGAAAGACATCCAATTTCCCCATGCAGGAAAAATTGTTATGCGTTTTCGTAACTCAGGTAAACTCATCAACCTATATTCGTTCAGTGTCAGAATCAGCGTATTGTCTGAGAATAAACTAAATGCTTTCTAGTGGCAAATTCGTTTGCTGCATTGTGGAGTAAGACCTAGTAATGTTCTCAGATGATCTTTCTCAAAAGATAGAAATATTTTAAAAATATTTCCTGCATTTATTTTATTGTTTGCGAGTTACGACTCGCAAACAATAGAATAAATGCATAACGCCATGGTTTCAAAACTTTAATGTGTGCTATTTTTACATAACGCCATGGTTTCAAAACTTTAATGTGTGCTATTTTTACATAACGCCATGGTTTCAAAACTTTAATGTGTGCTATTTTTCTTTTTAAATATTATGATTCTGAAAACTATAATACAATTTTTTGTCATTTTTTGTATGTTAAGGTAAAATTGTCTTGTTTTCGAATGTTACTAAAAGGTAAAATATTCTGTTGACTTTCGATGACATAAAAATGTACGTTTACTCAAATGATAATTTCTGTATTAAACTTTTAATGTCTAGAGTATATAACTTTCATATATTTTGTACACTAATCATGTATTTCACGTACATTACGTAGCAGTATATAAGTGAAACTTCAAGTTTCAGTCAAGTTATTGAAAAAAAGGCGTAATATTTAATTTTTCGGTCTTTCCAAATGAAAGCAAAATAATTTCAAAATACGAACACTTCAACTAATAAAAAATAAATAAATGAATATTTACTTTTTAGCCCAAAACACACAAAAGATATTCCTCTCGTTTAGTACTTAATTATCCGATTAAACAGACAGAAAAGGGGTAACGTTTATACGACGAATCTAACTGCATCTCAAATATGTCAAAAGAAATTAATGTAACATACTCAGGCCGTTCTAAAAATAATCCTGCATTTTATGTTGAAAAAGCAACTTTCAGTTTACAAATTTCATTGATGTATGTATAGTTTGATTCCTTCATTATATAAAAAGAAGAAAGCATAAAAATGTGAAGCTTAAAGAAACCTAAAGGTCGTCATTTTTCATTAAAAATTCTGTGTATCAGCAGTTTCCCTATCTATTGAATTCTTGATTTCCTGATGCAGATTTTCGAAAATGCATGAACGCTAGAGCCCTTGACCTAGAATGTTACTTGTAAAGTTCTTTTAAACATGTTAACTATCTTATCTACAAGCATTAATTTGCATTTCTTTGTATCCTTTTTAGAATACAGGTAGATGATCATGTATGGAGTGCTGCAACAGTATCGCCATCTCAAGGGTGGATTAGAAGAGAAGTCTTCGAAAATGTAATATTCTTTTTACACAAATGTTACATAAGTTTTTCAAATACTAAATGTTATATGAATTTATCAAAAATATTTTCATATTTATAAGAAATGTATAGAAAATATATATATATATATATATTTATAGAGAGAGAGGGAATGTATATAAATATCTAAAAAAATATTTTCCTCTAATATATAGACGAAAATTTAAGGTGTTAGGTTATTTAATTTAAATAAGAGGAAAACATAAGAATTTGAAATCCCATAGAGGAATTCAACGTAATTTTTTCTAAGCATAATATGCTGCCACCTGATGAGTTTACTTCCGTTAAGCGGTATTTAATGTTGACCTTATCATTAGCCAGTTAAATAAGATTTAAGATATTTAAAATGCTTGTATCACCTTTCATATCTCACGAAAGGGAAGTAGTTTAGGAATATGATAAAGTTTGGTTTTAAAACGTCGCATATATCGAATGTATCAAAACTATTTCGAATAACTTAAACGATGTTTGCAGGAACCTCACTTTTTCTTTCACTTTTACTGTAAATCTCTGAAACGTGTAATAATACGAACGAGGCAATAATATATATATATAAATATTTACAACAAAAATTTGAGATCTGATCTACCTCCTCTTGATAATGATGAATTACATTTCAATTGTATTCCTGTTCCTTTTCTACTTTTTAAGTATTTTTACGCATTTCTATTGTTTTCGAAATTTTTTCTGGTTTAAAAACACTGAGTTAATGGGGGTCATTTTACCTTGGTTATTGGGAGATTTTGGATGGTACTGAATGCATATTTCATATCTTTAATGTCTTTGTGGTTTTCAGCTATAATACATACCTGCGAGAGCTTCACGCGGAATGTAAGCCGCATTGTGGCCATCTTGCAGATATAAGTACATATTACATCGTGCGTACGGTTTCGTAATAAATTGAATTCACACTGATCCGATGTCAGTTTGATAACATTTATTTTTATTGAAAGAAATGCTTCAGAGATCTGGAACGTTACACAAAATAGTCGTACAGCGCTGTCACAGAGTATATATCATAATATCACTGAGTACAATGAGTATTTACACTTAAAACCACTGTGAACACAAAGAAATGCAAGGCTTCCTAAAAAGGGAAGCTAAATGCGAGTTTACATTTCTCCGAGTGACTTGCAGCGAATCCCTAGCTACGGCGTCTCGAACCGAGTGAACGGACCTGTAATTTGATAGATTGTTTACACCAATCAGAGCGGAGTGGCAACTTGACTCCGTTTGTTTACAAAATCGATACAGACATGACTGTTGCCATGCTTGAAGTTTTCAAAGCGCTTTCCAACGAATTAATTTCTGAAGAACAAAACAAAACAAAACAGAAGAAGAAGGAAAGGAAATGGATATCTCACTGGGTAGTTCGCCGTGATGAATTAGAGCATTCAATCAGCTTTTAGATGAAGTTTGGGGCGAGGATATCCAAAGCTACAAAAACCTCATCAGAATGGGTGAAGGATAGTTTGAAACTTTATTGGAAATATTCACTCCACTTATTCAGGAAAAAACTACGTTCTTTCCAGATTCTCTGCCAGGAAAATTAAAACTGCGCGTTTCTTGCTACGGATGACCCCTACAGTTCTCTGGAATATTTACTTTGAGTGCCAAAATACACATAAGCATTGCCAACATACACATAAGCCAGAAATGTACGAGGCCATTGTCTGTGTATGAGTTTGAGCAAAAATTATTAATCTTTTGCTTGAACTTTCCAGCTCCAACACCCTCAAATTTTAAAATGTTAATAATATCCTCATACGCCTTCTGTCGGTGATTTTTACCTTAACACTTCCGACTGATCGTTTGTAAATTAAATCTAATTTGTTTTTCAAATTAAAAGGAAAGTCTGTAAACAAAATTTCAAAATTTTAGACTATATTCTATTAGGTATGATTGGCCATGAGTAAAAACTGATTTTTCGAAATTTATATCAACGAAATTAAATGTGTCCTTTCATTTACTTTTTTAATGGAAAACTGTATTTTATTGGGTATTTGGATAAGATAGAATTTAATTGCTTTTTTATTAAAGAAAATTCAGAAATACATGGATTGAAAATAAATATTTTGAATTCGAGTTCCTAATTCAATTTTGTTTTGTGTTTTTTCTACAATATCAAAAACCAAAATTCATTCTGATCAGTAGTTATATCCATGATATATTTAGGTATTAGTAATTTCGATGTGATTAAAAAGATATGATATTTTTATGATTCGGTTTTTTCGATATGATTGAAAAGATGGACACGGCATTTCTGCAAACCCTTCTAGGAATTACTGCCTGGATAAATTCTTAACTGATTCGAAGCAGAAGCGGAATGTCTGACTCATTTCCCTTACGTTTCTGTTCGTGAGAAGTGAGCCTTTGCATTGTCAAAGAAGTCGTAGTAAGAGGCTCGCTACAAGTCACTCGGAGAAATGTAAACTGTCCTGCAACCGAAGATAGTACTCGAACCTCATGCAGAGCCTATCAGCTAACAAATACAACTGAGAACAGATGCTCTCAAACTCCTTATATACACTGCTGTCCAAAAATTAAGGACGAAGTCGAAAAATTAGCATATCAGCTGAACGAAGAGGCAGAGCAGACAGAAAGACCAATTAGATTTAGTAAGGTGATTAAGTAAGGTGATGTACGGTAGCACATGCGCAGATATGCAGGTAGACGTAATGGGGGAGTGTCTAAGTAGTATAAAGCATGTTGTCGGTTGTAAGATCAGTATTTCTGGCAAAGAGATTGCATGCCGTATAGCAGTTAAAATCAAAAATCACATCGATTGCTGCCTCAGCGAGAAAATGGCGAACAATCAATCTGTTAGACGACATCTGGATGCTTTTACCCGAGGGTCGAATCATTGGGAAGTTGGAGGGAATGCCGCAGTGTCAACAAGTGTGGCTGCAGAGTTCGGAATTGCTCACTGCATCGTTTTCGCGACTTTGGAGACAATTTCAAACTACAGGAACAGCTATCCGGGGGTTTAGTAGTGGTCGTCCACGAGGAACCACACCGCAGATGACCGGTATATTGCCTTACAGGCCAGAAGAAACAGGCGGCAGACAGCGGGAGAAAGAAATCGCTAGACACACAACACAGGCGACTGGACGACCGATATTGCGTTTTACCGTGGCCAGAAGACTGCACGGTGGTGGTCTGTTTGCATGACGCCCTGTACGGTGTGTACCTCTAACGCCTGCCCATCGGAGAAGGCGTTCTCTGTGGTGCCGGGAACACCGGAACTGGAGAGTCAATGAATGAATGGGGACGAGTACTTTTTACAGATGAGAGCAGATTCAGTCTGAGTAGCGATTCTCATCGCATATTCATCTGGAGAGAGCGGGGAAGTCGCAATCATCCCTCGAACATCATTGAAAGGGACAGGTATGGAGGTGGCGTTGTGTCTCGTTTGGGGAGGCATCATGCTTGGGTAGTTTGTACAGACCCTCACATCTTCGACGCAGGTTCAGTCAACGGGACCCGTTATTGTAACGAGATTCTTTTTCCAATGTGTGTCTTTTTAGAGGCGCTATGGGTCCGCAGTTCCTTTTCATGGACGACAATGCACCATGTCATCGCACAGTAGCTGCCGAACAGCTCTTAGAGAGTGAGGATATTGAACGTATGGATTGGCCGGCACGATCTCCGGATCTCAATCCCATCGAGCATGTATGGGATTTTCTAGGCAGACTCTTGGCAGCTCGTAACTTACCACCAGTAACGATTCCGGAGCTTCGATTGGCGCTGCAAGACGAATGGTCAGCAATGCCTCAACAACTCATTGACACCCTCATTCTCAGCATGGGCAGACGCTGTGAAACCTGCCTTGCAGTCAGAGGAGATCACATCCGCTATTAAAGACCGGATGTTTCTTGCTGGACACCCATCACAGGGATGTTTCGGCCTTCAATCGCATTGCGCTCCATGCTACTTTTTCAATAAAGCTTCTTTTTATCCCTCTGATTTCTCTTTTGGTAAGTGTTGCTTACATTACTCATGTCCTTACGTATTGGGGATCTTACGGTATTAAATGTGTTTTGTACAAAGTTATATTTAAAAAACCGTCTCGTCCTTAATTTTTGCACACCAGTGTAGTTTTCCCCCGGCCACCGAGATATTTCTAGCATTTGGTTTTCGCTTCACGAAATTACAGGAAGGTAATATGAAGATCGAATAAAATACTTTTACAGTTAGTTAATCGTAATTTAGGAATATAACAATATCTCTTAATCGTTTCGAAAGACAAGGCGGTCCAAACAAAGGGTGGGCAATATAAAATATAAAACTGAGGATACTATTAGATTGAATTTAAAATTTGTTCATTTTATTATATTACATGATTATTAAATAGATTTATGTTGAAAAAAAAGATGTGACAGTGTAAAAGAGCTAATCTAAGAAAACATTTTGTTTCTAAATTTGATCATTATCATGGTGTAAACGTTTTCGTATTTGCTCTTTCTCTCCTAAGCTTTAAGAAACGCCTGTCTAAAATGAAATGTACTGTAGGTTACAAATATTATTACTTCCGTAACTGCTGCTCAGCTGTAAAATAAGTATTACATTAATTACTGTTTTAGCATGAAACGTAAGCAGTTTAGGTCCCAGGATCCAACCTATCTCTTAAAATAAATAATGCATACAAACAGTCATAAATTCCCTCATGTTGTGTTTTAGTCCTTACTGATATTGAAAAAAAAATATCAATATATGTTTTATAGATCATGCTTCATATATATTGCGTACACCGGGTTTCATTTATAGTTTATTCCTAACTTTCCGATTAAGGAAATTTAATTTGAAAGGCGCATCATTGCTTTTGTAAAGCATCTATCGTCGATGGCCAAAATGCTTTTACTGTGAAAAAATGCGAAATCCTTTCAGGATGGAGTAAGATTCGCAATATACGATTTCAATTTATTGTTTGAAATGCAAATATTCTTTTGCAGCAGTTTCCAAAAACAATACAAAAAATTGGTACTCATGATATTGATTGGTAAAGTAATCGATCAAGTCATCAGTCAAAATAACCAGTTATGAAGCATAGAATTTCATGAAATGATTAGTATTTGTTTTATTTAACAAATGTATAATTTTAGCTTTAAATTTGCAGTAAAATAAAAAGCTTGTATTTAATTACCTCACGCATATTACATATATAACTACTTTGCTTTCGATGACAGCGCAAAATAAAAGTGATCTGAAAAACGCACTAACTCACTAGTAATATTATTTCATAAGAAATAGAAAAATATTATTTTTCTTTTGAGAACAAATAAAATTTTAACAAATCTAATTAATTATGAGCAGATTTTGTTTTCATAACCTATTTTTAAAATTTCTCCATCAAAGCAATGCTTAGCGTCTGTATAAATGTGATCTGAATTTCACTGTTTAATTACTTAGTTTAGTCTAATAGTCAAATAGAATGCATAATATTTCAAGAGCATTCCACACTGAGGTATATTTACTTTAAAATAATAAAACTTGTTTTAAAAATTCACCGTATAATTAGTTTATTGCTAGAAACCTATACACATGGTACTGTTTTTTAAAAACAAACATCTGTTTAAAACCCATATTCATTCATTTCTAATGAAAGAATATTCATTTGTTGAAGCAGAGTTTTCCATAAAAAAATTAAACTTCATTATCTCATTAATTAAACCGTGTATATAAATTACCAACGAGCATTTCGCTTTAATTCGCAAAATAAATTCTGCATTTTGTTAGGTTTTTGTATATTTAACTAATTCCCAAAGCATTTGGATATGAGCAGTTCATTTATTTAAAGAAAGAAAGATTTTTGTTTAAATGTTTAATTTAATGTCATATATTAGAGATCGTAAAGCTTAAATGTGTTAGCATAAATACAGTTATAATAAAACAACAAAGAAAATATAAGCAACGGATATATTTTCATTCTAATTAAAACCTGAAAGAAATTAAAATTACAAGTTTTTAAATCTTCCATTTTTAAGGCAGAAAATCCAAAGATATCTGAATGTATTTTATTAGATTTCAGCTGCAGCAGTACAATAGTATCCAAATAACAGACTATTTTGTAAATGGAAGCAGCAGATACTTTTATCAGATGAATGAAATAAGCGAAATTTAATTCCAAATCTCTTGAGTCGGAAAGAATTGTATCAGCTCAGGAGAAACAGAGCCAGATGAATATGCATAAAAATACTTGAAAGGAAATAAGCTTTTACCTAAATTATGGAACTCAAGAGATAGATTACATGTAAATGTTTTTAAGTTGGCTCAGTTCCAAATGCAACTGTTTCTTGACCCGAGTAGGGTAAGGATAATGAGATTTTATTTGTAAACGTATTAAAAAAAAGGTATATGTGCCTTTCTCAGATCTAAAATTTAAAATTCTGAAAGAGGAAAGAGAATCAAAGCTAATCAAGCTCAGATTTCACTTTTTAATATAAAAATACAATGCATAAGTTTACTTGCATATACTGATTTGGTTAAAATTAAATTGGGAGGCATATATCATATTGGATATGTTGAAATCTTCTATATTTTAAAATTTCTAGAAAGCGTTTGGGCTTTTCTGCTTTGAAATGCGAAACCTTTTTACCTAGTCATCTAGCATATTATATTTCTGCATTCAGCATAAATTCTTATTTTAATCTTTCTACTATAAACTTACAAGGCATTTTCTCCCTCCTTCCAACACACCTTCTTGATGTAACGGTAGCACACTGGGGCGTATTTCAGAGATCAAGGTTTCGAGTCTCGCTAGGGCATTGCTCTTTTTTCACGTCTCCTGCTTTCAAAAAATGTAAGATTCATCCAGTGGCGCCCTAACGTAAACAAAATGCGGCAAAAAATTGTTCAGCACCACCAGATTTGGCGATTATCCAATCATAAAATATCCTTAAGATAATAACAACTTGCTGTGGTCTGTTGGTGTGAAACAGTCAGCTAACAGCTTGAGTCTAAATTGCATTTATAAAATAAGGAAGGTGATGCTCTCCATCCAGACAAGCAATAATTACCATGCAACACAGGTCCTTATTCCATTTCGAGAGGCAGAATATACCGCACGATGGATCAGACCTGGCGGATCTGTGGCTTGGCCTCTTCGCTCACCAGACATCAACCCACTGGACGTTTCTTATGGAGGCACATTTGCTTAGTGTACAAGAGAGCTGTGGTCTCTACTGAAGATGTCGCACTGAGAATCATGTTGGGATTCTACTTTTGATCATTTCTGCCTCTCACAGTGGCACCATGACTCTTGAAAATAAGAGTAATAGGAGATATCAAAGCGGGATCTTTCGAACAACTTATTTCGTAACCTTTCATATGACGAATTGTAAGTATGATAAATATAAAGCTTCATTCGGTGTTGGTTTTTCTAACATTATTTCACTTGCGATCACATGGCAAACTCGAAATTCATACCTACACTGTGATTATTAAATATAAACTTTGGTTTTATTCGTTTTTTTTTCTTAATTTTGAATTTTTTTAATAAGGTACCTTGTTAAAGATAAAATATGTTGCAAAATGTTTATTTCTCATTTCCCTTCACATAACTGTTTTTAAGTGTTTTTGGAATATCCCCACCCCCCGTGTTTATTCTTAAAAATATAACTAATCCCCTCTATGCGATGCCTAAAAAAATATTAACCTAAAAAAGACCTATTCGTAAGCAATAGATGATGTTTTCCTCACGTATTAATTTTTTTACAACAGATTACTTATTACTGTGTTATTACAATGATTAGTTTCTTAATATTTGCTTCAGAATTTTATGTTTATGAAAGTTTTATAATATGCCTAAATCATGTTTGCTGTTCGTAAAGCACTATTGTATGTTTAATACCTTTTATATGCGAAAAAATACACGGAATATGTGAGAACTTATAAATGACTATATATGCCGTGTAGTTTCTTGTACTTTAGATTATTGTTCAAGAAATGAATTGAAATATCTTTCTTTATAGGAATACAAGCCTTTGTACGAGTGGCTAGAGCTGATTCGGACTTCATAATTCTATAGACAATTTAATTTCTTCGAGATACAAAACGTCCATTTTTGCGACAGGGCCAAAATGTATAGATAGGTAACTATGCTTACCAATGGACTCATTATGTTTTTCTGAATAAAAATGATCGTCAGATGTGTGGTACTGTGCAGCATTCATAGTGAATATAACAATAAATCATAAGGAAATAATACCTGATACCTATTGTACCCTCATATCTGTGTCTTCTAAATAATATATAAACTTAAAACTATATACGTGTTACAATCTCAAGTCTGTGCGATTCGACACGGCTGATGATGCCAAATATTGAACTAAGAACACAAAGACAATGTACTGTGTACATCATGTATGTGTTACTGGATTTTTGCATATGTATACAGAAAAGTATAACTATATATATACATAAAGAATTATAATATATATGTATATTGAAAAAATTCTTGTTTGTCAGGAATGAAATTTCAAAGGTGCTTCATCTTATCATCATAAGTATAGTTCGAAACATTATAAAATGAAAGAATTTTCTAGAAATGATCATTCAATTATAAATTTGATTGAAAATTTGTGCTGTTTAAGTGTATATTGTAATATAGTTTTGCGAGCTCTACGTAACTAACAGACTTATAAAAGAAGCCTGAATCAGACCTTATTAAGAACATTTTATGGCTTATTCCTTCGAAAAGCTTTACTTTTTCTTTCTGGATATTTTCTTTGTAAAGTGAAAACTCTATATAAAGAATGAAAAGCATGCAGTTGAATGATCTACTTTTAATTAGTTAGCATGGATGACAAATATATGGAGAATTTCTTCATCTGTGGCTAACTATTGCGTGTTGTGTAACATGATTTGAGGCTCAAATTATGTAATATATTCCAATGGAATGAATAAAAAATTTTACTAAAATGTTTGTCGCTTATTACTTTAAAAAATACATAACACAGTGTAATAAAGAGTTTGCATTTGGTTTTATCGAATGAACATACCAATAAAACTGTTCAAGTAATTTCTGGTGGTGGATTTTTAAGGTATTCGAATCTGTTCGATGCTCAAATTTTGGAACATAGTAAAAATAAATCTATTTATTGGCACTATGTAGCAGAATACTGCTAAAAACTAGAAACAAGCTATAGAGATGTTATCAAACGTATCATTATTTTACTTTAAATTTGTCAGTTATTAGGGTATAAGGAAATAAATGGACTATAATCTAAGTCAAAAAGTAAAATGTCTCATAAATGTACCTGCTCGAGTACATCCACTAGCTATTTTTAGAGAAATTTCTTCCTTTTCATTTATAAAATTGCCTGAAACATTTTATATATATGTACATAAATATAAAATTTTAGACCATTTAATTCACAATATTTCATAAAATACTTATAAAATGTTTTATAATATTACTCCGGTAATATTAAGTTAAAGTTTTTTCGTAATAGAAAAGTGTAAAAGAATCAAGTTTATCAAAAATAGTTTTAATTAAATACAAGCACAAACCGAACGAAAAGAAAATATTGCCAGGTAAGAAAATAAAATTACAAATCTAATTTTATTTACGAGCACTTAACAACATATAGAAAGGTTAAAAATCATCTTTTGAACATCACCAAAAATATTCAAATGAAAAATTAACATTTTAAAGTTATTTAGATTAGGCTGTGTACCTTTAGACATCAGCTTCCGGGTTCTTAAACAGAAACATGTAATTCACGGCACAGAATAAGGACAACCATAGTTTTGCTTCTAACGGCCGGGAAGACAAAATAAAAGTAACTTTTGAAAGCTTAATGTATAAGCTTTAAAATAAAGCAATACCATTTTTTCGGAAAATTTCATCAAAATTGATGATTAAAACGTAGTCGGATATTTTAATGAAAAAGCGTATAGTCATTTATACACATTATATTTTAAAAATTATTAAATTATTAAAAAAAATTCCATTCTGAGACTTTTTTCCCCCTGAGCAGCAAAATCTCAACTGAAGTAAGCTTGACCTGAAACTTACTGTTCAAGTGAAGATATTTTTAAAGTTATACGAGAATGAAAAAAAAAAAAAAAAATTAGATACCTAAAATTAACAGAGAAACCTCTAGAATGTGGTAATATTTCATAATAATGTGTACTAGTATTAAATAAATTTCATTCTTTTGTTGTATGTTTTCAAGCAGAATGTGAATAATTTTACAGGCATGTGGTATCATTGAATACAGTAATCCGTAGCGATTCGTATAATTCATAAAAAAATTATAAAATGCATTTTGCATCGTACTGTATTTTATTTTATTTATTTATTTATTTGATAAATGTATTGTGAAACATATTATTTATAATCTGCCTCTATTATTATGGCAGACAAGATTCTTATTTTATATTTAATACTATCTCAAGTCTGATCCCTTTTATTTTATATTCATATTTATGATGCTTACTTTGACAAAAACATAAAAGGATTCACGATTTATAAATTCTGAGAGCTATAATAAATAGAGTATTAGAAAAAACTAGTCTTATAATATTAAATACATTAAAGTATTAAATGGAAATTATATATTAAATGGAAAAGAAATTTGTATCATCTTTTACGTATGTCCTTCCGATATATCTATAGCGTTTGCTATAGCTGAACATTATGAGTTGTAATAAGAAGCGTATTGAAGCTTTTAATTCATACTTAATACACCAGTGACCGAATGAATAGGGCATTTATAGGAATACAGGTAGGGCATCTCAGATCTAATTTTCTGCGAAGGATATTGGCAACATGGGTATTTTCGCCGTTTTCTTAAGTAAAATAAATAGAGATATTAGCTTTTTAAATATTTATGAAATATTTATTTGGCCTTGACTGTGTTTAAATGTTAATTAAAATGTTCTCACACCCTATTATATTGATAAACGAATTATCTCTTCGTCTCTTGTATTACAATAAAGTATTAAGAAAGTTTTATATAATGTTGTGATTTAAATCTTGGGAAAGGGCATCTTCTTCATACAGTAAACTCCGCCACTTGCAGGCATTTAAAATAGCGAAGATAAAACTTGTTGGAGATTACGCAAATTTGGTTTACCTACGCTGGCTTAAAAACTTTATTGGTACATTTTGCCGTCGGCTAGCAAAATGACTGAAGCTAGAATATTAATGGGCAGAGCTGGGCAGTAGAAATATAATCTGCGAGTATATAGTTCTTTTGGCAGCTTTATCTAAATAATATTACATTTGTTTCAGTTGCAGTAATTAGGTATTTATTTTGAAAATCGGTATTAATCTAAAATATTCGATATTTATTAAGAATCTAATTAAAAATTTAGATTGCACGGTTTGGATTAATTTATTTAATTATGGCAAAACACTCGGGGGCTATCTGCCTAAGACGAGGGATGATTTCGTGGAGGACGTTTCAAGCAAAACTGGCTCGTACCCACGTTACACAGGGAAAACACATGAAAACGTCTATGCAACGAGCCTGTTTTGAAGGGATTCGAAATCCGCACCGAATTACCAGTGTTCAGCCATTTTATTGCTCTACCATTTGGTGGCCAGCTGTATTATTGTTACATTAAGTATATTAGTCAAAGACAATCTTTAACAATCACTATAATCTCTTATTAATTAGTTATTGAAATCCGGATAAAGTATTTTTGTTTTCTTATGTATAATTTTCATTTAATTAAATATAAACTTTAATCAACAGAGAAATGCATAGTTTCCATATGTGTAAACTCTAACTATTTATTATATATGCCTGACATCTATATGTGTATACTATAATTATTTATTACATATGCATAATTACCATACGCATAATCTATAATTATTTATATATAAGTGAAAAATCTTTATATCATTTTCAATAAAATACCATAATATTTATAAGGGACTAAATATCGCATTAAAATATTACATACTAAGCCTGAGAAACTTTAAAAATAAAAGAGGGAAAGTGAAAATATACAATTTAAAATGACGTATGACTCAACACTAACGGAATCAACTCTCGAAAACGAACGCTCGAAACAATTCAAAATGATTGGAAGTTTTTTTTTTTAAGAGTTTGTGAGAATCTAACAAACTGTTCCAATATCGGATATTGTTTCATCAGTTGAAAGAAAACAAAATCTTTCTCACGGGATGGAGAGTAATCTTTTTAAAAGCTTTTCTACTACAAGAAATAATTTACGAAATCCTAAAAGTTACATGAAGTGTCTGCGTTTACCTGAATTATTTCGCTTTATCTTTTTTAATATTTCATTCTCATACACACATTTACCTCGCCTTCAAATGACATAAGTGTACTTTTTTAATTCTTTTATTTAGAATAAGCCCATGTGATAATAAGTGCATTTGTAATGGATTTTCTAGAACATTAATTGTTATTTTTGTGGTACATTTCAGTGCCTCCGCAGAAGTTTAATCTTATAATATTCAAAGTTCTTTAGATCCGGAAGTTTAGATCTTCTTGTAACATTTATTTAATTTTAGCTCTTAATTAAGTCTTGTTTTTTAATTATAAAACAAATCTCCCAGAGGGTAAACATAAAGTTTAATTTATTTCCTAATGAAATTCCTTTGCGAATTCTGTTAAAACACTTTATGTATCTGTCATTTTCTATATCATTTAAAATAAAGTTTTTGTATTGGAACCTTTACTATTTATTTTATTTATTAACAATTACTCTTTTCGATTATGTCCGATATTTTTCTACATGTACTGATATTTATAACTTGTAGTTTTGGCATCAAAAATATATATTTTTTTATTCTATATGCATAAATAAATTTTAACTATTTTACACATCTAAGTTTCCATCAAGAACTGTACGGGAATGCATTAAAAAAAGACGCATCTACAGTTTAACCTATCATGGAGTTATTGAAGTAACATAAACTAAACTTCCATTTCACAGTCTTTTACATTAAATTATTAATATATCTCGATAATTAAATTGGACAGTGACAATTCGACTTGTGATCAAATGTCGGTGAATGAAGGGCTTTTTAAGTTAAATTCACTCGTATCCACATTGCATATGAGTCAATTTCCCTTAAAACGCCCTTCACGAAGGAATATCTAATTAGAGGCAAAATAGGTCCGAATCCAAGAAAACGAGCATGCAGTGGCAACACGCATCATCTCCTTTATTACAGAAAATCGAAAATGACGACGACTGCACAGAAAGAGGTGCTTTCTTTTTTCTTAGATTGCAGTGGGCCATTCTTGATTTATTTTCTGTTCCAAGGGAATTCTATCAGTTCACCACAATACGACAGAACTCTGACGAAACTACGGAAAACAATCAAAAGCAAACCGCCAGGCCTTCTCAAACAACAGGTGATTCTTCTTCCTGACAATGCCAGTCCATGTCCTCCAGTGAAACTTAAAAGAACTTAAATAAATTCCTTTGGGGAACTTTGGAACACCCACCGTACAGTCCAGATTTTTTACCCTGTGACTTCCACATCTTTTACTTAAGACAGCATTACAGGAAAAAGGTTTACAATCGGACGATGGTGTGAAGGAAGCTATGCAGGACTTCCTCAAAAATCAACTAGTAAAGGCATGTACCTTCTGAAGAAACGATGGGATCTGTGTTACAATGAGCATGGAAGTTTTGATTTCCAATATAAGTATTCTTTTTATTCAACTTGTCTACTTTGCATTTGGGCTAACCTCGTAGTTTTAAACCATACACTTCTTAAATATCTCCACAATGAAGTGGAAGAGTCACAAACTCTCACACCTGCCCTTTTCTTGGCTCCAGTTTAACCGACCATTTCAAGAATGAACCATTTAACAGAAAGATTTTAACTGGGCGAAAACTGTTTGAGCCTAGCCTTTCCAAACAAATCTAAAGTAAGTGGATGGATAATTATATCTTGGATTTGCGGTCTGCGCGCAGTTTTCTGA